GGATCTTAAGAAAACCAGGAAGATGTCTCTCATATTTTGAAAAGTGTATCTACATTCTGTTTGTATGCAGGTACAGTTTTACACAATCACAAAGGGAATCTTGAGAAAGATCTTAAAACAGTTTTCAAAAAAGAGCACTTTGAGAAAGCAATAATAGCTTTATTTACCTTTTGTCCAGGTGGAGCCTGGCCTGGAGAAAGCCCTGGATCCCCTTTTGACCCCTGTAATAGAAACAAGGGCAAAAAGTAATAAATCTTTTCTGCAGGCTGATGTTACTTTAGCAGGTGCAAATTTACGTCATGCAATCTATTCCTTTGGTAATGAATCAATTTTTCAACTCTAACCAATCAGACAACACCTTAACATAAAATACATCTAAGATAGAATACACTGTACTGCAATGAGGATTCTTTTTAACTAAAATTATGATTCATGAAAGCTTTGTCTGACCATATTAAGATTCTCCACACTACCTTTGCATATTTACCATACACATTTATGACCCCCAACCCTTTAAGCAAAACGTTTTTTATGGCCCAGAATTTCCACTTTACACCAGATTGATCTTAACAGAATTTCAAGCATCATATTACTGCAGTTACGACTTACTCCCATCGAAGCGTAAAACCTGAAACCAAAAATTCTGTCCTGGTTGGAAACAAGAGTCAGCAGAGCGTGAATTCTACAGACAGGCTCTTTTAAATCTTAAGTGGACTGTCCAAACATCTCATGCTGTTGGCTAACTCCTCTGCCGTTCACAATACATTTCATTGAGTGAAACGTTTCCTTAGCTGAGCCAGAGTCTCTTAAGCACTTTTCTGCTGGGGTTCCAGTGAATTGAACTGACTCATTAAATGACCACTATGGACTTACATAGACAAACTTTTTATTTGTCCAGAGATAAGTGGGTGTAAAATCTGCAGGACTGGTGAGTCAGGAGGTGGAGATGCACAGCATAGTAACCGAGTAACCAGACATGCATAGTGAAACAAAAGATGTCTGAAAGAGTCAAAACAAATCCAGTGCTGTTTCTTTTATTCAAAATCTAAATGTTTCTACGTTTATATATATACAGCATCAAAAACTAAAAATAATCATAGATCCATTATAACTTAAAGAATGTGGAACACCCACTTTATTTCTCTGTCTGCAGCATGACTTGTTTCATACACCACTGATTGCATGGTGCATCCTCTCTGTGGAAGTCATTTAGAAATACTGTTACCACAAACATCTGCTTAGGGCTACCCACATCCTTACTGAGTTATACCTCGTCCCACAATGGTAGAAAGCTAACCAGATCTGTTCCCTCTTATCTATTCCCATTTGTTTTATCAGCAGTGTGGCTTAAAAGTTAAAACTGTGCTTGTATACAGTGGCAAAAAGGAAGGGCAACCACAACCTTATCTGGATGGTTGAGAATCCATTCCATGAGCAAAGTTTTTGTCCTTTCCTGTCGCACTTTGACAACATATTGCCTCATTATCCCGATTGCTGACAACATCTGGCTGTGTTTGGGTTAATTCCACATGCACACGCTCTCTTCTCCTCGGGGAGCAGCGTGTCGATCTTGTCAGTCACCATAATTGAAGACATTTGCCTCGCAATAAAAACTGTGTCTACATTTTTGTTAGACTGAATGATTTATAGGGTATTTTAGTTAGCCGCTGGGACCACTAAGATGTGGCCTAATAATATAAACCATGGGTTTCAACACTGGTCGTGAGAACTCACTGGCCTTCATATTTAAGAAGTATCTCTGCTTCAGCATTCCCAATGCAAAATAACTGCATTACCTCCTTAACATTTCCTCCATCCCCTGATGTTGAAGCATTACAATCACATATTAAAGCTAGGTTTGTTGCAACCTTGAAACATGGAGTGGCTCTTCAAGACAAGAGCTTAGAGTCACTGCTACAAACAAAACAGGACAAAAAATTGAGATGAATATTTGGATTGAACATTTAAAATCAGATCTTCACATTAACTGTAAAAAAACAACAAAACATTTTTAAATAACTGCCTTATCTAAAAAAAATCAGATGTCCTTTTATACGATGTTCACTTTCTAAGCTTAACTGTTACTTCTATTTGACATAAGACGGAATAATTTGAGATTTCTTTTTTTTAGGTTTAAAAAAAACTCAGAATAACTGGAGCAATTGTTACAATTTTGGAAAACCCAAATGAGTAGAAACACTTCAAAGAGTGCATTTTTTTCTGTGACATGATAAGAAATTCTAAAGATATCTGCCTAGATATCAGGGAGGGAAGTCTGGAATTCTACAAGCAAGGCCGAACTATTAGGTACAATCCCCAAAGGTCTGGAAATGGCACGTTCTTCTGATCAGATAATCATATTCAACTGTAAACTATGGAAACATCTACCAATGATAGCACCTAGTTCATGCTCCAGAAATAAATCAGAACATGTACAAAATGGCGAATCATCACGACAACAAAAAGCAAATAATGGGTGAAGGCTTGTCAAGTGGATCCCCTTTTTCTTTTTTTTTTTACGTAATTCACACATGTAGCACTAAAAGCAAAAACAAAAGTATTTTTGTGAACTGATGACATTACAGAAAGTATTAAAACATCTAAAATAACATCTCTAGTCAACCTAGAATTTGGCAGATAGAATAAAAAGTGCAAATCCAGAATTAACTAAAACAGGAAACTTTGATCTGATTTAATATCAGAAAGGAAAGAAAACAAATTCATGACATAAGTTTGTATAAGTCAGTGTAAGTCTTTCTTTGCAACTTGGGAACTCTTGCATACTATTTCCTGTGCTGATTCCTCCTACGTTTCATAAAATACATGCATAATGTACAATTGAAGTAAGCCTTCGCTGCCTTTATTTTTCATGCATCTACCTTTGTGGGGTATAATTCCACCTTTAATTCTATAAATACATCCCTAACTGGGCACAATTTTATGCATACTCATGTCTATACACGTTAAGCAAAGGAAGCTCCCAATTAGAAAGGAAACACCTCCATGAGATCTTTGTTGATTTTCTTGCAAAGATAGACAGAGAACTTTCCCTTTCTCATATTAGAGAGCAGTTCTCACCTTTGGACCAGGTGGTCCAGGTTGTCCAGGTTTTCCTTGTGGACCAGGTGGACCCTAGAACAAAACGTAAAAGAATAAGAAGTGTCAACTGTTATCAAATTTGAAGAAATTATGTAGAGGCAATCGACACGTGTAAAGTAAGGATTTAGCTTAGATCTAACTTCAGGTTTAATCAGGATTAATATTTCAAAGATTTTCTGTAATGCAGTTCTTTCATCTCAAAGGGTTTTTAGACAGATGATCAGAAAATACAAGAGTGACTAGTTTTCTTTGACTTAATGGAGCATTCACTACCACAGCGCTGCCTCTCCCCCAATAACTGTTATTAAGCAAGAAAGGAGACTAAGAAGGCTGCCATACTTATTACTTGGACATAAAAAAGACAAAATCAGCTTTTAAGAAATAACCGTGAATGCAAAAAACAGAGGACTGTAGGGAATCCAAGGAAGCTCCACCCATCACTCTTAGAAATGCTAATTAGGGCTAAGAAATAAGTGACATTTCTGTTTATCATGTATGATATAACACCTTTGTCAGCACACCTTAATCAGCTGCTAAAAACTTCTATGGTAACCCCCCCAACTCTAGGGCGGACATGGTAAGGGGGTCTGTGCGCCAAGTCTTTAACAATCAAGGGGTCCCAGAACAAAAAAATATTGAAGACTAATTCTATCACATTTTTAATAACCGATTGAAAAAAAAAATAGATAATGTTAATAATTATTGAAAAGGCTGCTTTTATTCATAGGCTCAGTTTTGAATCATTCTTACAATCCAATATCAACAACACATCGCAGCATGCTTCCTAACTTTTCTCCACAATCTGAAGTTACACACTGGTTGCACTTAATGATTTAGCCTTTGGGATTTAGAGTAGACTTTATAGGAGCCAAGTTATTTACTGTTTTTCTGTCTCTTACTTGAGGACATATTTAGCTGTATACTGACTCTCTTTGGCTGCATGTCTTCCATCCCCTTCAAACATGCTTTTCAAAGTCAGTGGGGCTTTAGGAGAAACACACATAAAACTAACCTGACATCCCATTTATTTGCAGCAGACTGGTAGATTACTGCCTTCATAATTATACTCTAAATTTGGCAATCTTATTGAAATCATGCTAAAAATAAAACATGAATTTGTTGCAACAATATGACACAGTTGGGGAAGCACCACATATCCCAAGTGTTTCAATACAAGTGTTTGCTATTGAAAAGTTTGCATTAGAAAAATGCTCTTCTTTCCTTATGCAATGCAGAGATTTATGATATATTCCTCAAGATAACGCATCCATAAAGATGCGATTATTTAACCTAAAGTGAATTTATCAATCTATTTTATTCAGTGCTCTTCTTTTATCCATTCCATATAATGTGGAATATGGAATGGATATTCCACTGTGCTTGGTTTGGAGGAGCCCCCCCGGGGCTAAATGCATTATTGAAGCATTGCATCATGACAACCTTGGCAGTTGCTTAAATAGAAGTAAAGATCAGAGTGAAGATGTACATATTTAACTTAAATGCAGCTGCTGGTTGCAGATGGTACAGTATAGTTTTTTGTATGTTAATACTAAGAACAGACGACAAGTTTAATGTTCCCTGAATAATATGCATTACCTCATCCTAATGTGCACTTCCAAAGCTTGTTTGCAAGGTTCAGCTATGTTAACAACAGGAGCATTTGTCAGCAACTCTTTATCAAAAACTACTGTTGTGTTTCGTAGGCCAATTTTAGATAATACTAAGATCAAAAACCCGTAAAACACAATCTTACATGCTTTTTGATTGTAAGGTTTTGTCCTAATAGTTACTTGCATCCACATGTTTAGAATTTTTCCTGTAAAATAAGCAGCTGGGAGAAAAAGCCCCTCCTTAAAAAAGAAAAAAAAAGCAACAAACAAAAAAACATCTGCTCTGATTGATCTGATTCGTCAGCTCAGACCTGCAGACTGCCACAGTTTAACATACTAGCAAGTCAGTAATAGTCAATGTGCAACTCAAAAGTGTGAAAATGTTTCTACATTTTTCCCAGCTAATGAGAAATGCAACAATGCTGTTAGAGTAAAACATTTTAGGTGCATCATATTTAAATCAAAAAGCAATGTATACCTTTGTTAGTCATTTTAACTGCAAAAAGAAACAAAATGAAACTGATGCCTTCATTCCACACTTTTTGATTACATAATAGTGAGAAAAAAAGAGTAAGATTCTTCCTCTGTCGTGATTTATATCTATTGGCAGTTTGTAATCATGAGCATGAATGACTCACCCTAGAACCTCTCTTTCCAGGAGGACCAGGTAAACCAGGGGGACCAGGAGGACCCTAAAGCAGGAAGACAGAGGGATTGGGAAAGATTGAGAATGTTGGAAAGAAACATCAATGGAGAAAGGGAGTGAACGGAAAAAAAGAAAGATGAGACAGTCTGTTAATGGCAAGCGATAACATGTAGTCTAACAACCCAGGACTCCTCCGTCATGAGCATTTTCCAAACTAATTTTGTTAAAAAAAAAATTCGGTTTTACCTTACCTCTTAAGACAACTGACCCTACTGTGATACACACACATATATATATATATATATATATATATATATATATATATATATATATATATAT